GGGTGCCTGGAGCAACCAGGGTCTGTGGCGTTTGTGGAGGAGCCGCGTTCACCGCAACCCCCGGAGCCCGGGACGCTTGTGATGCTCCCGCAGGATCGTCTGCCCGGAGCTGTGTGGTGTCCGTCCCCTCCGGCCTCCCCGGTGCTCACAGACCTGTTAGTGCCCAGCGGAACGGGCTGTGGTTGTGCAGAGCCCGAGCGGAGGTGAGACGGGGTTTATCCATCAGGAAAGGCTGCTTGCCTGGCTCGTGTTCCCGTGTCCGTGACCCAGAGCGGAGCTTCCCTGCGCTGGGTGCCGGGGGGTGGTTCGGGGTCCCGGGCTGCTCTGCTGCTGCAGGGATGGGCCTTGCGAGGGGGCTTCGTGGTGGGGCCGGTGCTGCCCTGCGGCTCTCAAAGGGCAGTTCTGTTCACCCTCGTCTCGTTGGGTGACTCGCCATCCCAACAGATCCCCAAGGCCTCCCTGTGGGACCAGCAGTCGGGCAGCACCTCCACACCAACCCGTATCTCTGCTTTCTGCCGATCTTCTCTTTAAATGACCTTGAAACGGTTTCTCCTGACCTTTCAGATTTAACTGAAGGCTCCTAAGCTTGGTAGCTGTGTCCCTGAGAAGCGGGGCTGGTGTGGGTGTGGAGCTGGGCATGGCACAGAAACCCCTGCTCCCCAGAGCACCCGCAGCTCTGCCATAGCCGAGTTGCTTTCTGTGCCACGACAGCCTGACCCTCTGTCCTGTGCGGTGGGGAGAATATCCCGGCTGGCTACGCTGCTAGGCAGCCTCCACTGCCGTTGTTTGAGCTATGTAGAAGAGCTGGAGGGGCTAAATTAAGTACTATTTAATTTTATTTTTTATTAATTACTAATTATTAATTACTGTTACACTTTCTATATTAAGTATTATTTAAAAAAAAAAAGAAGCCAGCACTTGAAGTTAATGCTCTTGCAGTGAGAACGAGTCAACAGTGATAGCTTATCCAGCGAGGTGCTGATTTGTGTTGTGCATCTGAAGTGCTGGAATGGATTAGCAATTGGTGCTAAACGCTGGCCTAGATTAATTTTTTAACATCCCAAATGTATCTGCGTTTTCTGTGTAAGATAAACTTGTCGTTTAGGAGCAAACTGAGCCTGCAGCTGTTGGTTGCAGAACGGGGCAGTGCTGCACAAACAGCTCTGTTCCGCGTCCGAAACGGGCACGGCCATCAGGGTCCTGCTTGAACACCCAAATGTTCTGGTTTCTGTTATTTTTATTATTGTGAACACTTTTAAATGCTCCTCTGGGATCCTGCGTCCGCGGGCGCTTAAAATATGTTTTATTCTCCAGAGTTTGGCCAGAGACTCTGTGCACTAAAAGTACCAAGGTGTGCACTGAGAAGTGGAAACCGAAGTTGGTTAAAAGTGTGAATTTGACATTTGATCTGATGCTCCTGGTGCATCTGAGAAAATAATGAACTGCAGTCAGTTTTCATAAAACTGTGAGAGGTTTTCCTCAAGCTCTGAGTTTCACCAGATGTTTACAGCTGACTTTTCTTAGCAGAGATTTTTATTTTCAGTTCTACCAGTTACGGGGCTGGGGGAGAGAAGAAGTTTTCAACAAAGATCTTACTTATATGGCAGTTTAATGCTTGTCATGGGTGTGTGATGGAAGTTATCTGTCCACAGTTCTGTGTCCCAAATCCTGGGTATGAAGTGTGAATGGCTGATCCACTGTTCTGTTTGATTTCAATTCCTGGCACCAAGGACTCTGGCTATGTGCTGTGGTTCCCAGAATGATGCCAGCAGATATGTTACATTGGAAACAGCCTGATCCCATCACTCTTGTGTTTCCCTGCTTCTTATAGGAACACCACTTTCCCATCCCAACCCTTTCACACAGAATTAATGTTGAATGTGGAGGAAAAACAGTATCTTTCCCCTTAGTTTGTATGTATACTTAATGCTGTGATTTTACAGCTCCTGTTGTATCTCCCACATAAAATGTGACTTGATTCCTTAGGGAAACAAAGGAAAACTGAAGTTAAAACATAGGAATGTTAAAATGCAGCAGTTGGATAATAGATAGTTTGGGAGCATCAGTGTCAAGTTAATTAATATTTCTAACATTGCATGTTTTCTTGACAACTTCTTTGCTGAAATGTTCTTTCTCTCAGCCTGTCTGAAATAGCTGGGTCCAAAAGTGCAACTTCTACACCAGTTACATCTTGGATGATTTTTTGCTGCAATAGTGGGGAGAAACTCCCTTCAGGAAAAAAGCTGCCCAAGGAAAGAAAACTATGACCCAAAGCAGTGGGAATTCCAAATGTGAGGGATGCACCATTAATCTCCTGGTGGTGTGTAGAGACTCATAAACAAGATTGCAAATGTGGAAGACTTCCAAGTAAAAGTACTAGCTTACAGCTGCTAACAGGCTACTAATAAAGATTACTTCATCTAATCTTACTTCAAGTATATTTATAACATCTAACACTGCCAAGTTAGATCACAGTGTGGATAAGATGCATGTTGAATCAATTACTTGTGTATAGGTATTTGTGTTCTGTTTACAGTGAGTAACAGCACTCTTGTATTTAATGCATTTTCAGTTATGCAACACTGGGACTGTTTGTTCTTGCTCTGGAAATGCAATATTTTGAAATACTTAAATCTTGTCACAAATGACGTGAGAGGCTTGGTCTAGCCTGTGACAAGGCATGTGGGGACCCAGTACTTGCCCTCCACTGGACACTGCTTGGTGGGGGGGGTCAAGTGGTGGCAGTAGCCCAGGGCAGGATGCAAACAACCAAGTAATATTGTAGGCTAACTTCTTTGTAGCATGTAACAAGGGGCTCCTTTTGCCTGAACCACATGAGTTTCTCTTGGTGTCTGCTTGCTGTTCCCATGGAGATATATTCCAAAAACTGTCTGTTTCTCACTGCCAAATCATGGTGTGATACTGTGTGGGCACCATCCTCTGTCTCCCTCTTGCTCAAAGCCAACTGGGTGCATGAAGGCTGTTTCATCTGTTCTCTGGCTCAGGTTCTAGTTTGGATAAATGTTGTTTGTATCACAAGCACTATCCCTGGGAGAGAAGCTGAGAACACTTGACTCTGCCATCAGTGGAAATTGAAGACCCTCAGGACCTTTGAGGGGTACATTGCATTGTCTACACCAGCTTTTTTCTTTCTTGTCCCCATCCCACTCCCCTTCCTCTCTCTTCAGATATTTATTAACAATGAATGGCACGAATCTACAAGTGGAAAGAAGTTCCCAACCTACAACCCTTCGACGTTGGAGAAAATCTGTGACATTGAGGAAGGAGACAAGGTAAGTGCTGCTGGAAAGTCAGTGCAAATAAACAGTTTCCAAGGGAATTCCTTCCATAGAGAAGCACACAGAGGAAAAGCTGATTTCTCACACAATATACATCTGGCCAGACTGTGAGCTGGAGGTCTGGGACACTAGATGTCCTGCTCAAGAATTACATGGGATGGGTGTGATCAATCCTGTCCAAGTCTGCAGTGTCATTTTCCCTGGTAGGAGCTGCCTGCTGAATGCTGTCAGAGGAATGAGATTCAGCATCCTTCTTGAGTTACAGACTGGAGGGAAGCAGCCAGTCTGAGGAAATAGTAATGATGGTGTTTGCACATTTGACAGAACTTGGGCCTTATGTTGGGAATGGCTTATACATGAGCCTCATGACAGCCTGTTGGACACACTGAACTGAAACTTGCCCTTTTTTAAAGTACAATCAACAAAGAACCTGAGTACTCTGGGGGATTTAAGCTCAGTCATGCAAACACTGCCCGTTTTCTGCTAGAGATGTGGTGCTGCTTTTCCAGCTGGTGTCCTGCTTCCTGCATAAATGTGGCAACTCTCAGCTAAAATCAAACCATTATCTCAAGAACACTGGTAGTCCCTGGCCCTGCTGTACTGTAGATTACCCTGGGATATAACTGGTTGGGTTTGGTAGCAGTGTGAGGTGAGTAACTTCCAAATGTGACACTTTTTTTCCCAAACAGCTTGTCACATATAGGCTAACTGTCCTGATCTGTGGGAGAGAGCTGGCCCAACAGCTGGCTTTTTGCAGTATGTCACAAGAAGGTGATACACAGCTTCTCTGCTGTATCAGGGCTTTGGCTGCTCATTGGTGTGGGCAGTATGTGAGTGGCAGTGTGGGCAT